ACATGTATCCGCGAGTGATGCAGCCAGGGTTCGTTAAAATCCAGGACGGACTGCCAGTGGCCCAAAGCACCGTTTTTGGATGGGTCGTCTCCGGAGCCTGCCACCAGCCATAGCCGCAACGACCTTGTTGCAACCCGAGCGATTGCAAGGGGGGGCTGCTCTCGCGCTCCGACTCTCGGGTCTAAAGTGCCGACCATCGGCGATCTCCCGCGCTCGTATTGGGAGAGCAAAGCGGCCGAGAGCTCGGCTTAGGTTTAAGCTAGTAGTTAGTCTTATGTATGCAGCGAAATAAAGCTGACGAAAATTTGAATTGCCCACGACGCCCCCGCCTTACTTACTTTCGCTTGCGACGTGGGAATTTTTCCTTGGACTACTTTCATCCAGGATCTTGCGGCAGGACGCCCCCTACACAATCGGTAAATAGTTAAAGACTATACATACATATGTATGCATACATCTTATAGGGTCGGAAAAGCCTGAAAATAACTTATAATATATAAATTATATATAGGAACAATATGCATATGTTTTCCATCTACACCTTTCTTCCATGAAATGAAAGTTGCTTCTTGTTTCGCTGAAAACAAAACGAATTTCAGTTTATTGTAAATATTAGCATTCATATGTACTTACACATTTTATAAATTTCGTCAAGCAGCGTGCTCACTTTAGGATTCTAGAAAATTGGATTTACCGGAATTTAGTTCCCGACTTATTCATCGATAGGGCGTGGGAAGCGGCCCTATCGATATATCGAAATATATAATTTATATATTATATACAATATATAATACTGAAATGCTTGGAATTTCAATTCCATTCATGTGGCATGCATATTTTATACAATTCTTAAATGGTTAATAGGAATATTTTCTGGCGGGCTATTCATCGATAGGGCGTGGGAAGCGGGAAGCGATATGAATGAGTTGGAAAAAGAAATTGCTGATTTCTCAAAATCTGACGGTTAGATCTAAATAAGATTTAATTCGAAATTAGAGAATATTTTTCCCTATCTGTTGGGATACCGTGCAAGTTTGCACGCGTTCATTTAAGTGAGTTACAATTTTTTAAAAGTTAGCGTCGGAATATGGTATGGGGCATGCCACATGGCGTTAGGGTCATTACGAAACCAGTGTTTGTGAATGAGGTCGGAAAGAGAAACACTTGAATTTCTCAAAATCTTACGGTTAGATCGAATTAAGATTTAATTCGAAATTAGAGAATATGTTTCCCTTTCTTTTGAGATACCGTGCAAGTTTGCACGCGTTCATTTAAGTGAGTTACAATTTTTTAAAAGTTAGCGTCGGAATATGGTATGGGGCATGCCACATGGCGTTAGGGTCATTACGAAACCAGTGTTTGTGAATGAGGTCGGAAAGAGAAACACTTGAATTTCTCAAAATCTTACGGTTAGATCGAATTAAGATTTAATTCGAAATTAGAGAATATGTTTCCCTTTCTTTTGAGATACTGTGCAAGTTTGCACGCGTTCATTTAATTGAGTTACAATTTTTTAAAAGTTAGCGTCGGAATATAGTATGGGGCATGCCACATGGCGTTAGGGTCATTACGAAACCAGTGTTTGTGAATGAGGTCGGAAAGAGAAACACTTGAATTTCTCAAAATCTTACGGTTAGATCGAATTAAGATTTAATTCGAAATTAGAGAATATTTTTCCCTATCTTTTGAGATACCGTGCAAGTTTGCACGCGTTCATTTAAGAGAGTAAGATTTTTGTAAAAGTTAGCGTCGATTTTGGTTGTCGGGGAGCGGCATAACATATACCACATATACTAAAATAATCTAAAAATAACAAAATAGATACATTTTCCTTAATTTAGATGAAAATCACACTAAATTGTTTTGAATGGCTCTTCTATTTATTGTCAGTCACTTTTCTTAATATTTTATTCAACAAATTGCTATTTTCATTTAATTTAGTATTTTTCTTAACATGGTTCCATGGTCTGGTTCAGCGAGTGGTTCTCTGCTGATTCCCATCTGGTTCCACTTTCATAGTTCGCGCCTAGGATATCAGCCCAAATACACCACCCACTGTTATTCGATTTTCTCGAAATCTGGCCGTTAAAAACAATTGAAATTTTCACCAAATATTCCTTAATCTTCCCCTAGTAAGCCTATATACCGTGCATATGCGCACGCATTCGTAAATCGAAGTTATATGCCTTACTATTTTTGATGCCCTATTTTGTATGGAGCCGACCCCGAGGTTAGATCACTGTAATGCAATTTGATCAAAAACTGAAGGTTTGAATCTTGGTACGGAAAATCTACAATAAATGTCCTTTATTTTGGCGTATCGGGTATTGCTGCACGCGTTCGATTAGCCGAGATATTAACAAATCCGTGAAAACACGATTTTTCACATGCTATTTTTTAATATATCCAACTGTCAAATACTTTCAAACCCAGTATGAAACAATAGTAAATTCATTTTTTAGCATTTAGAAACTTTATTTTATTCAAATTAGTGCCCTTATTACGAAATAAATTAAAAATTAAAGATCCCCTCCGTTTTCCATTTTCCCACCGTTCCATTTCGACGCTAACTCATCGACGCTAATTTGACGGACATGTTTTAGGTGCATTCATGCAGGAGTCTAATGCGTAATATTGTGTATTAATATTCAGCCAAATGTACTATACTTAAATCTACTATATTCGAATGAGTATCATATAAAATATTGTTTTTAATATAGAAAGCACCAAGTGTCTTCAAAATTTAACTAAGAACTTATAAAGTAAAGGGTATATTTGATCCATGAGAATACGTGTGCTGTCGCTGCAAGCCTTTCACATAAATTACTGCCGAAACTGTTAAACAAGAACGCGACAACACATAAACATCCCAGTCGGACTTTGCTTCATGGATAGAAAACTATGTCGAGAGATGGCCTGGTTTTGTTCCGTTCAGCAAACAGTCAAGTACATGAATCGAACGCTGCTCCGTTCAACGTAGGATTCGGTGCTGAGGTATTTCCCTTTTAGGATATTTTTTAACACGAAGTGCGAAAATTTCAGCAATTATTTTACTTTTTGCTTTTTAAACGGCGTAGAATTCCTCTAAATGAGAATCGGAAAATATCTATAGAAAAATATCCTATTATTATGAACTTAGTATTATATTTTCAGGAGTTTATGTGATTTTTATGTGGTATACTTTTGATATATTATTTAAACACAGTCATTTTAATGTTGTTGGTCAATCTTTAACTGAAACAAAAATTAAAAAAAAAAAAAAATTGAATATACAATTTTAAAATTTTTTTAAAAAGTTTGCCTCTTGCGGGATTTGAACTCTCGCTATCCTTTTTGAAGGCGGATGTTCTAACCCCTGAGCCACGTGCCACGATCTCCTCGCGTCGACAAAAACAAATATCAAGCGAGCAAAAAAATAAATGTCCTAAAGGGATTGCAAGTCTTTGTCCCTTGCACTTGCGATATGCACATGTGTGTATATCGCCGACTCAATTTTAGTTGTCTACGTGGCGCGATGCGTAAGCGGCCGGACTGTTAGACATTAAGACGTAGGTTCGATCCCCAGGTGGTCGTATTATATTCTAAAAAAGCTTTTGAGTATGCTTGAAAATGATTTACTAAGTGTAAATGTAAATGTTAAAAAAACAGCTTGTAAAAAAGTCAGAGCTTTTCATACATATATTTTTTTGGCAATCGAAATTTTTTCCTGAAATTCATCCTTATCCCTCACGATGAATTTGATCATGGCCCGAGATAAGACGGCGGCACCATGAATTACGCCGCTCACTCATGAATAAAAGAGAATGAGAACTTTACATAAAAGGTGGGTCCTATCCACCGAATGGGTTCGCATGAAAGCACTAAGCAAGAAATACATAGAGAAGTCAAACAGTACAAAAAAGTACTATAACAAAAATGGCTGAGCCTGGAACCCCAGAGCACCCGAACGAAATGTCTAGAACCCCAGAGTGCCTTCGGCTTTTTCGAGTTCGAATCATTCGTTCGAAACCGAGCACAACAAGATTTTACTTTTCAGTGGCAAGTCGACCGTAGAACGATGAGCAGGGGTGCGTTTTTTTGCGCTGTGCTCTCGTTTCTGTGTATATGTGTATATGTATGCAAGCGCTCGCACGTTTGTATGCGTGTGCAAATTTCAGCATGCAGAGGTTTTTTTTATAGATTTCGGACGGTCATAGCCAGTTTGCCGAAGCGGCGGCTCACTTACTTATGACGTCACAGCAATACTAAGCGGCTAGCGCTTGCATTGGGGGACAAATTATTTAAGTTATCTAACTATAATTACTCCTTATTTTAATTTAAGTTTTTTTTTCTGACCGACCAGAAATTATTGAATTCCATATCGTATTAAAACACTTTTTTTTATTTGTTTCAGTATATTTGCAAATTTATAAAACTATAATATGAATTTTTATTGATGACAGCAACAATTCATCGATGATTCATCAACAATTGATGACAGCCTAGGACATGCCCATGTAAAATTCATCAACAGTTTGTATGGCCTGTCATCGATGAATCATCAACAGCACCCCCTTGACTGTTGATATAAAGTTATATTGTGTAACAGCCATAACAAAAAAATAACAATTAATAAGAACAAAAAAAAACCAATGCATTTTAACTTTCTTTAAAATTACTGGTACTGTTAAATGAATGAAATCTTTATATATTAGTTAAAAATAGATATGTATATAGTTATGTAGCGAAAGTTCTTCCATCAGTTCTTCATTAACCTTAATGTGTTTATGTGATGGATGGGCCACAACTGTTCGATGACTTGTCATCGGGAGATTCAGCTCTGTGGGAATCATATTTTCACATATTTCAAAAATTTCAACTGTTTCACATGCATGCACTGTGTGATAAAACAATATTAGCTAACAAACTATTTTGGAGCTTTGAGTACCTTCCCTTAATAAAATTTGTATACGGTAGTATGGTAACTACAACACGGCTCCTGGATCTGGCAACTCTGATCAGAGGATCCATATTTTTTCTTTCAACACCAAACCAAAACAGTATACTCAGATTTAAGGCGTTTATATTTACAACTTAAACTATCAACAGAATTTTTCATTTTATTTGTGTTTGCGCGGCTATGAAATTGACTCGAAAATAAAATCCATACTGTAGCAAATGGAGCAGCTGCAGCAACAAAAAAGCACTGCCCATGTCTCAAAATTGTTTGTCTGTACGGCCGTCGACTGTAAAGATGAAATTGAAGAGGTAAGCCAAGACCCTTAGACCTAAAGGGATTTCTAATATGCATATGAATATGTATCAAAGATGTTAATTTATTTTTCGCTTGTTTTATTTAGAAATTTGAGCGGTCGTTTGTTAATCTGCAGCAACAAATTGCAGGACTCAATGATAAGGAAATGCACGATGTTTTGTCACAGTTGGTGTGCAAAGACAAACATCACGAAGAGATCTCAATTGGCTTCCTATACATATTACTTACCGATCCGGATTCGGCTCCAAAAACGTACCGCGACATAACTCTTGTATCTAGAGACGGAATGAATGTGATAGTGGCAAACCTCACTGTGCTTGTCGCCGAAAAGTATGCAAAGTTAACTGACATAGCACGCAGACAATTGATATGGGTGCTACGGGAATTCGTAAAGCACCAAGTATTGAGTGTAGAAAACGTTATATGGAACTGTCTCCGTCAAGCTGGCGGGGGAGATGCGTCTATAAGAAACGTTTTTCTCGTCGAAAGCCTTTTGGATATATTTATCGACTATAGAACATGGTTAGAAGGCAACCCATTTTTAGTGCAGTCAACCGTTTACAGCTACGTCCGCCTTATAGAGGACCACGCCAATCCTGCTTTAATGCCTCTTCGCCAAAAAGAAGTGAAGTTTACAATATCGTTAATACGGGAACGTTTCCATGATATTATACCTTTAGGAAGGGATTTTGTCCGGTAACTATTACTATTAAAGCTAATTATATAAGGTTCTGATACTGCTTCACCAGCATCACAATTCTTTAACAATTATTATTGATTGTTTGGCTTCCTTTAGATGGTTTAAATTAAGTTAGGCAGTTACATAGTTTAATGGCACCTAAGCATCAAAACAAGTCAGCCGGTTAGGTTTTACCACCATCCTGTGAGTCAATTACAAACTTCCTAAAGACAGCTAAACTTAAAACCCGACTGGAAAGGGTAATGCAAATATATATGTTTAAGCCTCAGTGCACCACGAAGGCACTGTAGTTTTTGAGTTCATAATAAATAATAGTAAAATTAATTAGAAAAGCAACCTTTAAAAACGTATAAGCAAAAAAGTTCAAAAATCAAACTTAAGTTCTAATAATGTTTTGGAATCGAACATTTTAGTTTGCATGAAAGGAAGCTAACTTTGGTACGCCGAAGTTTCAGATAGAACTTCGATCACTAGTAATTAATACAATATAAATTACATATATAAATATATGTTAAAAAACAATGTAATGTCTGCTTTGAGATCATTCACCTATACATATTATTTTCACAGTTTTACATTCACAGTTTTGCATTTTCCTCTAATTCTAACGATCGTTTATATGGCAGCTATATGATATAGTAGTCCGATATTTATACAATTGTACAGAAAATTGTATAAAAATATAAAATGGCTATATCTTAAATTTGATAAAAATCTGGTGAAAACTGAAAAAGTTATAATTTGTAATTTGTAATTGTATTTATTTCTCAATCGTTCCTATGGCATCTATATGATGTAGTCGTTCGATTTTCATAACATTGTACACTAAATTGTAGACTAATATAAAATGGCTATATTTTAAATTTGATAATATTCTTTTGAAAACTGAAGTTATTATTTTTATTTTTAAATTTTCAGATCGTTCCTATGGCAACTACGTGATATAGTAGTCCGATCCGGCCCGTTCCGACATACAAAGGTAGTCAAAAGTATTTACACAACGACCATTTTTATAGCCAAATTTTTTTAGTTGTTATTCTTGTTGTTGACCGTTTTCCCTGAAATTTTCTTTATTGCGTAGATTGATCTATGCAGAATCGAGCTAACAAGGAATTAGAAAGATAACGGTTCATAGAAAAGTGCTATAAGTAAAAGAATAGATTCATCTACAGTGTAATATTTACACATAATTTGTTTTCATCTTATGTTTAATGCTATTAAAATTTAAATAAATTACTTTATTAATAGTTCAAAAAATGTTCTTAAGAATCGATAAAGGCTTTCAATTGGTTAGAATTGAGTTTATTAAGCTATATCCAAAATAAATAGACATATTTTCTTTTGCTTTTAATATTTTCCTAAGAACCGTTATCTTTTGTTTTCGTTTTCTGCTTGTTTCTGAATAGATCAAATTATGCGATAAAAAAAATTTCATGAATATCGGTCAATAACAAGAATAATAACAAAAATAAGTTCGGTGGTGAAAATAATTGTGAATTTGTGTAAATACTTTTGACTACCCCCCTATATACGAGTAAGAGTAAATAGAAGACTAACTGCAAAGTTTCATTCAGATAGCTTTGAAACTAAGAGACTAGTTTGCGTAGAAAAGGACATGGCTGTTGATGCTGATCAAGAATATATGTATACACACTATATGGTTGGAGATCACTCCTTCAATGCGTTGCAAACTTCTGACTGAAATTATAATATCCTGCAAGGATATGAAAACTATACAATAAGAGGAATAAGTGCCGAAGTTAGCTTCCGTTCCGTACGAAATATAAACTTCGAGGTTTTTTACCCTTGCAAGGTATTAAATTTTCAGTCAGAAGTTTGCAACGCAATGAAGGAGTCATCTTCGACCATATAAAGTGTATATATTTTGGATCAGCACCACGTCCTTTTCCACGCAAACTAGTCTCTCAGTTTTAAAGCTATCTGAATGAAACTTAGCAGTTAGTCTCCTTTCTCTCGTATACTCTTACTCGTATATGTATCGGAACTGGCCGGATCACAGGAATGATCGGAAAATTAAAAAAAAAAATTATTACTTTATCAAATTAAAATTACAGTCATTTTATATTACTCTTCAATTTTGTTAAAAAATTTAAAAAAATATGATCACTATACGGATCGGACGACTATATCATATATTTGCCGTAGGAACGATGGAGAAATTAATACAATTAAAAATGATTCCTTTTCCAGTTTTGAACAGATTTTCATTAAATTTAAAAAAAAACAAGAAAGGAAGCTAACTTCGGCACGCCGAAGTTTATATACCCTTGCAGATAGAAATTCTATGACTAGGAATCCATACAATATAAATTATATATATTTGTGTTAAAAAACAATGAAGTAATACCTGCTTTCATTTCATTCACCTATACATATTATATTTGCAGCTTTTCGTTCACAGATTTCCATTTTTCTTCTACATCAAACAATAGTTTGTATGGCACCTATATGATATAGTCGTCCGATTTTCATGAAATTTGACACAAAATTTAAGACTAATATAAAATGGCTACACCTCAAATTTGATGAAAATCTGTTGAAAACTGAAAAAGTTATAATTTTTAATTGTATTAATTTCTCTATCGTTCCTATGGGAGCTATATGATATAGTAGTCCGATTTTCATAAAATTTTATACAAAATTGTAGAGTATAATAAAATGGCTATATCTCAAATTTGATCCAATTCTATTGAAAACTGAAAATGTTAAAATTTTTTTTGTAAAAATTTTCCGATCATTCCTATGGCAGCTATATGATATAGTCGTCCGATCCGGCCCGTTCCGACATATATACGAGTGAGAGTATATAGAAGGCTAACTACAAAGTTTCATTCAGATAGCTTCAAAACTGAGAGACTAGTTTGCGTAGAAACGGACAGACGGACAGACGGACAGACGGACAGACGGACAGACGGACAGAAGGACAGACGGACAGACGGACAGACGGACAGACGGACAGACGGACATGGCTAGATCGACTCGGCTGTTGATCCTGATCAAGAATATATATACTTTATATGGTCGGAGGTGCCTCCTTCACTGCGTTGCAAACTTCTGACTGAAATTATAATACCCTGCAAGGGTATAACAAGAAAGGAAGCTAACTTCGGCACGCCGAAGTTTATATACCCTTGCAGATAGAACTTCTATGAATAAAAAACCATACAATATAAATTATATATATTTGTGTTAAAAAACAATGAAGTAATACCTGCTTTCATTTCATTCACCTATACATATTATATTTGCAGTTTTACATTCACTGATTTGCATTTTTTCTCCACATCAAACGATCGTTTGTATGGCACCTATGTTATATGATATAGTCGTCAAATTTTATGAAATTTGACACAAAATTTAAGACTTATATAAAATGGCTATACCTCAAATTTGATGAAAATCAGCTGAAAACTGAAAAAGTTATAAATTTAATTGTATTAATTTCTCGATCGTTCCTATGGGAGCTATATGATATAGTAGTCCGATTTTCATAAAATTTTATGCAAAATTGTAGAGTATAGTAAAATGGCTATATCTCAAATTTGATCCAATTCTATTGAAAACTGAAAAAGTAAAAAAATTTTTTGTAAAAATTTTCCGATCATTCCTATGGCAGCTATATGATATAGTCGTCCGATCCGGCCCGTTCCGACATATATACGAGTGAGAGTATATAGAAGGCTAACTACAAAGTTTCATTCAGATAGCTTCAAAACTGAGAGACTAGTTTGCGTAGAAACGGACAGACGGACAGAAGGACAGACGGACAGACGGACAGACGGACATGGCTAGATCGACTCGGCTGTTGATCCTGATCAAGAATATATATACTTTATACAGTCGGAGGTGCCTCCTTCACTGCGTTGCAAACTTCTGACTGAAATTATAATACCCTGCAAGGGTATAAAAATTGTATTACCTTACAATCTTATGAAAAAAGGATTACTATATCATATAGCTGCCATACAAACGATCGTTAGATATAGAGTAAAAATGCAAACCTGTGAATGTAAAACTGTAAATATAACATGTATATGTGAATAAAATGAAAGCAGGTATTACTTTATTGATTTTTAAACAAAAATGTGTTTCTTATCTTAGTAATTTATTTTGAATCTGTGTCAAATAATTTGTAAATATTATTTAATGTTTTTATTATAGTTTTCTTTTTTAAGTTTGATCGGTAACTTCGATTAACTGATACAAATAATTTCTAGTTGACTTCCAAACTGAAAAAAAAGACTAAAAATTTTATATTTATATATTTTGTGCTAAAAACTCAGTTGCAAAACGCTCACAAAGGAACAAAGCAAAAAAACAGGGAAAACACGTGCAAAAATTGTGCGCTTTTGTGCATCAACGGATACTTTAAAATTTATTTCATTTAATGAAATACTGAGAAAGGTAGTTTATATTATTAGGGCACAAAAGGAGGGAAAACTAGAAACTTTCCTTTTCTAGGCCACTAACCTTTAGCAAACTTAGATCAATTGACACAAAGAGCGATCCCCCGTTAAGTAACTATATATATAAAATCAACCTGAATAGACATCCTTGGATTAAATTATGAATGTGCAAACGAAGCCTATAGACATTCTCATTTATTTAAAATAACAATGAAACTGCGGCGTTTTGATAATAGTTGATGATGCCGTCTTCTTCGATTGCATTTAATATGATCAGGATAATACGTATATGTGAATAAAATGAAAGCAAGTATTACTTCATTGTTTTTTAAACAAAAATGTGTTTTAACTTATCTTGTTTAAAATCCTAGTGATCGAATTTCAATCTGCAAGGGTATAAAAACTTCGGCGTGAGAAAGTTAGCTTCCTTGCTTGTTTCCCTTAGTGTATTTACTCGATTTTCATAAAATTAAAACCGAAATAAGTTATATATATATATATATATATATATATATATATATAATTTTATGAAAATCGAGTAACTACACTAAGGGAAACAAGAAAGGAAG